CTAGCAGTGAGCTCACTCATCCACTCGGAGTAGCTCATTCACCCCCAATTAGTTAAAGGAGAACCCTCCATCTACCCAGCTGACCAAGGAAGAGACCTAGATATCACCCATTTTCCCCCACTCCCCCTCCAGAGTCAAATGCTTATGAGGCCTTAACATTCACCGACCTTCTGAAATGCCTTGACTCTAAACCACTCAACAAGCCTGCTGTTTCTTTCACCCTTCCGGCCTTCATAGCTTACCAAATGTCAACAGACTATCTTTCCGGAGAAGCAAAGGTCCACCTTCCTGTAATCAGGGGCTTTGAGGGAACCCAACCTCTATGGGACCCTGAGTTGTCCATGTCCCTTCTTGGCCTCATCTGCAATTTTGTTCTTGCATAACGTGATTCATCCTTACCAAGTGTCTTTTTCTTTGCACCCCGTGCATGGAAACAGCCTTCACAGACATACTCTTTCCTCCACTTTACTGGGGGATATCCCTTACTCCTGAAGTTCTGTTGTCACTGAGAAGCCACAGCCAAATCCATGTTTCTACTGAGTAATGACTCTGGGTTGTCTGTCTTTCCGGGGGTCTGGAGACTGATGCTTGGATGATCCACACCTCCCGTCTCCCATCTGCTCCCCTTTGCCTCTGTGTACCCCCACCTAGAACTAACTGTGGTTCCGTGGGCCTCTGACACTTTGCAGGCCATTCATGAATACTTTTGAAGCCGAGCACAGGAGAATGTCCCCTTTCTGCCATGTCCCTCCACAGACGGTTTCATCCCTACTCGTTCTTTGAGAGACAGTTCGAGTGTTTCCTTTCTAAAGGGTCCTGACACTCCCAACAAGTTTGATGTCTTCATTTTCTTTGACCAGTGAGGCTTTCTGGGAACCTTGACTGTGTCCCCATCTGTGTATAATCCCACTCACCCCCAGAGCCAGGCTCCTAAGAATAAGGAGACATAGTTACCTAGCTATTGCAGATGCTAAATGATATACACTGTAAAAATAGATCTATTAATCTCTGGAGCTCTGGTCCCATTGTTACTTCTTTTGGGTAACTTTTAAACAATTTCAGAGTCACCACAATAGAAGGGACACAGCAAGGTAGCTTTCCAAATGAAAGGGCAAGAAGACCTGGAGTTTTCCCCTGACTCATACCTTGCCTCCCACATTTTGTGACATTTCAGATTGCATAACCACCCCGCAAGCAATTAGAACCATAAGTGACTAACCACTGTGACTCTGTCACATCTTTGACCTGCCTTCTGAGCTAAATCCTTTACCTATAAGTTGAGTTGCCTGGGAGAGACCTGGATCTGCCTAGTCACAGTCTGAACTGTGGTGAAGGACAAATTGTTCCAGCCAAGGCTCGGCCCGGGGGGCTAAAGAGGTTTTTCTCGGAGCCTCCAAGCAGATCTGCACAGAAGGGAGGTCCAGGGCGAAAACAGTGACTCGTGGAGGGAGCTCGCTGCTGAGCCAGCTGGCTCTGCTCACCCGAGTCTGTCTGCAGCTCTTTTCTCAGCGGGTGCCTAGTGTTGGCAGCTTATGAGTATCCTGGGCCCACTGGGCTTCTGTCCTTTCTAATCACGCTGGTGACCATCTCCCGAGTGCTGTACATCCCAAATCATTCCAAGATCATTAAGCAGACTCTCCTCTCTTATCCTTAAAACAAACACAGGCAGTATAAACCCCTCCTCACCAAGTCTACCCATGGGAAGTAAGTCATAGAAGGCTTCATCTGCTGACTGTAGATCCCGTGTTAGAATAGGCTGCAGGTGGGCTTGAATCCCTAGCTCATGGTCTAGATAAGACCCCCCACCTAACCAAAACAAAGAAAGAAAGTCGAAAAAAAAATCCCCCCATTCTAACAGATCTTAATTAGATAAAATCTGATCTTTACTACAGTGGACTCTTCCCAAGGTCTGCTTCCTTATGGGACTTTGATGATGGTAACTCTTCTTCCCTGCATGTCTTCCCTGAAAAGGGCTTGCTGGTATTCTAACTTATAGTCCCAAAGAGAGAGATGCCATCATACAACTAGTCAGAACAAAACTGGCCCAAACCTAGTCAATTCCAGTTGATTCAAACGGCATCAGCTGCCAGGCCTCCTTTTGCTGCCTCCCTGGTGTTGAAGAGCAAACCCAAGGCCTCATGCGTGCAAGGCAAACCCCTAGCCAATTGCTCGGTATCACAAGATCTCATTTGCTGTATCAAAGAATAATATCAAGTCAGCTGTGGGATAACATTAAGGGTCAAAGTGGCAAAAGTTTTCTGTTTTGTTCATTAATTCAGCTAGGTTAGGCTTAAGTAATACAAACAGGCTCCACTGACATCTGCTAGTCTTGTCTTGCTATTTTTCATAAAATTCCTCATCCGTACACCATTTTCTCCACGCACAATCTCTTGCTCTCAATCCATTGCTGTTCTTTCCCCCATATACCTAAATGCCTGGGAATGACCACATTTTTTTCCCAGACAGTCCTAAAACTTACTCTGTAGATCAGACTGACCTCAGACTCAGAGATCAGCCCACCTCTGCCTCTTAAGTCCTGAGATTAAAGGCATGTGTCACCTCAGCCTAGCTATACCAGGGAAAATTTTAACACAGGCAAGAAAAGCAAACATTGCTGTCCAGGACAGCACATCGAGCCCCTGCTTATAACTCCCAGTTCGAGTCTAATGGGGAGCAGTCACACACGCAGTCCTCTATGTTCCTCACTACATCGGACTTTGAAAAGAAGAAAAGAACACAAAGGAGGTTGTTCTAATCTGCGGCAAATCAAACACTCAATTGAGGCCTCCATCTCATCTGCAGCTGCATTCACTATGAGTTAGCAGCTATTCACAAACCAAGAAAATAAGCCAAATATTTCTCTGCCTTGCTTAAAGACTCACAAACCCTTCTGAAATTGAAACATAATTTAGAGAGAATCCTTTACGGAGACCTACTGCGATGTCTTTTCATAAATTTTAATGCAACTGAGCCGAGGAAAGTTGGGCTAGATGAATTCTAAAGAGCTCTTGACTTTTCTCTTCAGGATGGGACTTTTCAGCTCGCAAGGCTGGTATGGAAACACGGCAAATGATTTGACACGCACACAAGTGAAAGCGTATTCCAGACAGAGTTAATGTTTTACAGAATTCGTGGCATTGGCCAGTGAATGTGGCAACATTACGAAACACGCTGGAATGTTGATCACCTTAATCTTACTATCGAACAAACTGCCAAAGCAAGCCACATCTTTCTTGGTGAGTATCCAAAATGCAATGTATGGTTATAAACATTTCTATGAAAACAGCTCCAAACTGCCTATGGTATACACATGATACCTTGTATAAAGGTGACGACAACTTTTTATTAGCTATGCTTACAAGTCATCACCCTGGCCACACCGAATTTCCATTTAAAATGATAGAAAAGCGATAACAAAATTACTTGTCAGCATGCTTTCAGGTCATTCAAAGTAATTAAGCCTTGGAAGGGCAAGTTGCCAAATTAAATTAGTTGAGCAAAAACCGGATCCTTCAATATTTTTAGCAACACAAGAAAACAAGTGATAACATCTGGACCACAAGCAGGGGTAGGTAGTTCAACAGTATCTACTTTGTGCCTACTGAATGTCACTGCCAACTCTATGCACTGAAGAGTGCTGTAGTAAGTAATGTGTAGCATCCAGCCCTCTAATTTGCAGACTGTGTGCTGATTAGCATGGTATACACTCTTCAAGAGCAAGTTCAAGTTACCACTATGTTGACACTGATCGTGGGGTTGGGATGAGATGTGCCTGGGCAGATTATTGGACATATCTGAGACTGCCCATCAGAACCGGGGTGCACGAAAGTGTGGATTCTATGAAATCCCTTTGTCACTGTCTTTGATTCTGCTGTAGGGACCACAGAGCTCCAAAAACCTCAATTTCTCACTTACAAGATGTGTTGATTGAATAATGAATCTTTAAGCTTTCTTCCAGTTTAATCCTTTCAATATTTAAATGGTTTTCTTACTCAGTATGAAGGGAGCCTGTGTCTGAAAGCAGAATCAAACAAAATTTCCTCTTGGCTTGTGTTTATCCCAAGTATGTTGAAAACTAAGGACAGACTCAGATGTAGAGTGTGATTCAAATTCAATATGATTAATTTTATAAAATATAAGTATGTCTTTCAAAAGCATATTAAATGATATATTAATTATGGTACAAATGAAAAAGAGAATTCCAAGACAAGCAGAAGCACACTATGGCCACTTTATAATACCCACTTCACATTTCATAATATCTGCTTCAATCTTTGTGAATTTTCAAAATGGACAGAATAAAAGATAGTCATATCTCTAAAGCACAAAAGACGAAATGTCTCATGTGTTTTGCAAAACATTGCATTACAGAGCTGGGAATGGTGGCACACCCATTTAATCCCAGCACTCAGGAGGCAGAAGCAGGCGGATCCTTGAGTTCATGGTCAGCCTAGCTACAGAGTGAGTCTAGAATAGCCAGAGCTACACAGAGAAATTCTGTCTCAAAAAAAAAATCATACACACACACACACACACACACACACACAATGTATTATAGTCAGGAGTCAGGTATGGTGGCACAGCACTGTTAGCCCAGCTATTCAGAAGGCTAAGGCAATTGGATCTTATGTTAAAGGCCATGGCCCTGTTGTGCCAGTTCCTCAATTTATAGCTACCTTTTAGGCAATTCTAACAACTCAAATATATTAATATATAATAACATTATATATTATTACATATAACATACAATGTATATATTATATATAATATAACCACATATATGCTATATATTATATGTTCTACATAGTATATATAATAGGCAACAAGTTAAAATGTAAAAAGATAGTAATCTTGCCCCCAAATTTCCCAGTAGTGTCAGAATTCAAATACATATCTGTGATGCCAATCCACTGTGACCTTTTTCTGTACTGTGACACTTTCCTTGGTCATCAGGTGTTCAGACCATTGTTTACCATTGCCTGCCTACAGCATCTCTAGAATGAGCCAAGAGTTCCTAGCCTTTCCTTCTGTATGAAGAAATGACGTCTGGTCTTGTATTCACTACCCAGCTGTATGCATCTGGCCCTGGTCTTATCACCTCTAGACTTTCACCACAGCAAGGAATCTGATTCTAGAATGAGGAAAGGCCAGGGGTAGGATGAAGGGAGCTACCATAACCTAAGTCCTGTATAGTGCTCTGCTACTGGAGGGAAAATGAACTGAGCCTCACCAACAGGTTTGCATAAACCAGATTTAGGGTGAAGATGAACACTTTCATGGACCAACATGACTCGCGTGATTGTTTCCCCGTAATGCCCCACAGAGCAAGTCTGAGAGAAATGAGGGCAGCTAGAACGTAGCTCAGCGCACTGAAGGCTCACTGTGACTACTGGACTGTTTCTGATCTTTGCAGAGACTGGTGGAGGAGAGTGCTCTAAGAACCAGGAAGACTATGGCAGGAGCCTTGAATCAGCGTGGTGCCACAGAATGCATCTGCTCAGTTGCCACCAATCAGTATTCTGGCAGCCATTCAGTTCTGGGTGAGGAAAACTTGCATGTGAATACTACTCTCTGTTCTGTGCTTTGTTTCCTTCTATGCCATCGAAACACACACACACACGTGTGTGTGTGTGTGTGTGTGTGTGTGTGTGTGTGTGTGTGTGTATCTCCCATGTGGTTTCTTTTCGGAACCAGTACCCCCACTTCAACACTATGTGGAGATCACACTTCGCAATAAAGTAATAATACCTTCAGATTGGAGTCTTGGTATCATGTGTAAAGGAATTACGTCTTTCACAATCAGACTCTCCCCTCCGTATGCTGTTCAGCCATATTAATGAACGATGTGTTTTAATTGCCACTCCTAGTTTCCTTTCAGCAACCCGACACCAAGGCTCCTAATCAAGTACGGTGATGGCTGGATTTAAATTAAATCGCCAACTACTATCTTTCAATGAACCAGGGACAAATGTGTACAAAAAAGTCAGTGGGATATTGACAGCAGAGTCCTTCCTGCTTGTGTCCAGCTTGTTTATGGTCGTGTTAGGGTTTGCTGCCTCCTATCAATGAGGTTAGGCGCAAGGGAGAACTAAGATTTCACCTGATGGAACGGCTATGTCAGACAAGTCAGGACTGGCTAACTTCAGTCTTCATTCATTTCTGTCTCTGGATTTCCACTCCACTGATTTAGTAAGCAGGCTCAGGGAGGCTCCAGGACACAGATTCTGGTGGCTGTAACTCTGCTTGGTTGTTCTTATAATTAGGCTATGACAGGATTCTGCAGGAGCAATGCTTCTTTATGAGGTGGTTTTAGAACAGAATTTGTCCAGACAGATCACATCATGTGAGTTATAACCCAGAGGCTAGTGGATGGAGTTAAAGGATGGCTTCAACATCCTTTGACCTGACCTGGCATTATTTTTATAGAGGTTCCAGCTGGGGTCAGATTTAACGCACGCTCCATTTCTTTAGCTGCTATTCTATCCACCAAGTGGAATGTTTGGATTCAGATTTTGATTGACAAGAAAAACATGAGAAAATTTTTTGTTTCTAGAAACTGCAGTGTCCTCAAGGTACCTAAAAAGCATGCTGTTTGACTTTCAGTTGCAAATACAGGAGTCAAATTTGGAGCACAAAGAATCTTCAGACCAACAGAAAAGCCAAGCAAGCATTCTCTACAGCTACTGCTGGCAAGCCTGTTTGCACAGCGGGTTTTGTGGTAAGAACCGAGTGGAGTGTGGAATACAGGGGCCACCTTTGGCTAAACTTCAGAAACCGCATTAATGATTTATTGTTGCATATGGACAGTAAGCTCCTTTCACAAGATGGTGAAGGAAAACTATCTTGGGCATTTCAGCACTTGAAAAAGAGATGTGGTTATTGAAAAATCTTGCAGAATTTGTAGAATGTCCCGAACACCTAATTTCCTCCAAACTGTTAACTAAATGGTTTCAATATCAAATAGAGTAAAATACACGTATGAAATCACATGGCATGATTAGCCGTATGTAGTAGGGAATAAGTGATAAGCCAGATTGTGGTGTGGTCTGTATTATTTACCATAGCTTTCTCCCTAGACAATTTGTTGAAAACGTGTACTTGTTCTATGAATGAAATCCATACTTTGGGGGAAAGAAGCCTTGGAAGTGCACAGCCACAAATAAATAAACAAGACCCAGTCCCTCACGCTTTCCTTTCTGCCTGCCCTGCTTCAACTGAACAGCTTTAACGATGAGAAACCGTTCCTAGAAGTGCCGCTTTACGTGCAGAGCGCCTCCGTCCTAACCACAGCGGCTGACAGAAGTCACTTCCCTCCTGAAGAAGTGGCTTCGCTGGAAACAACCCGCTTTGTGATCAAGCGTGTAACAAGGCTCCTGCTGCAAGGGAGCACGAGCGAGGGCCGGAGTGAACGCAGGGCAGCTGGCTCCACAGCTGTGCAAACTGTAATTCCGTGGTGTGAGTGGGAGGTAATGAACAGCCCTAGACTTCCGCGCATCCGCAGGGGACATTTAGGTCTCTCCCTCTCAAAAATAAAGGTTTTTGCTGTGAAACGTCTGCTTGTGCTTTTGTGAGGCTAAAGCAAATAATTAGGGCATCAAGTTGGTGGGGTGGGGAGAGAGGGTGAAGGGAAGGGGAGAGGATGACATGAAAGAGGAGAGTCAACAGGGTATCTGACTGTCTTGTACCCAGTTAGGGCAATGCCCCTTGTGGCATTCCACAGGGTCATAGGGTGGGATACAGGTGCTTTGGGTCAGAACAACAGGTTCCGTCTTGAACATCACTCTCACATGGGAAGCTGAAGCGAGGTCAGAACAGCAATGAAATGTCAGAAGAATTCTGAAATCCAAAGCACTTGTAAAGCTTTGTCTTGTAGTGAGAAGGAGAGTCTATGGAGACCACACTCTGCACAGGAACAACTGACAGCTGACATGTGAACACGACCTCAGTTGATACAATGGCAAATGTTGTGTGCAGCCCTTGGAGACAACTAAAGGTTGAATTTAGGATTTGGCTTTAGAGGGATTAGTTTATCATTCAGTTTTTATTCCTGGGTCTTAGTTTGCCAAAGGTAGATACTGACAGCTGTCCTGGTCACCCAGACCATACATGCTTCTGTCCTTCATCTAGCACTTTACTTTGGGAAAACACTGTTAATATTGGGACAGAGGCAATTAGAGAGACTATTATCCACTTATTATAGGTTCAGAATGTGATACAGATCAGATGTGAGGGCTTGGCCTTTGGGAAACAGCAGCTCTGTAATTGATCACAGAAGTTCGTGTTCACAAAGAGAGGACAGTCCCCTTAACTACCCAAAGGTAAGATGTTTCTCTCTCTCTCTCTCTCTCTCTCTCTCTCTCTCTCTCTCTCTCTGTGTGTGTGTGTGTGTGTGTGTGTGTGTGTGTGTGTGTAGAGGTCAGAGGAAAACACTGGGTGTCAGTCCTTGCCTTCCACCTTGGTTGAGGCAAGGTTCCTCTATTTGCCACTGTATATTCTGGATAAGTTGCCCACAAATGTCCCAGGATGCCCTGTCTCTGCTTTCCATATGGCTGGCAAAGTGCTAGGATTACAGGTGAGTGGTGGTGGTCGTGCGACAGTCGTGATGGCTGTGGTGGTACTGGCGGTGCTGATGGTGGTGGAAGTGATGGTTGGGGGGCAGGAATAGCTTAGAGCGATGGACTGAAGATGCAGTAGAGGAGATAAGCACTTCATTTGTAATAAGGAACACTCGTGGTCTGTCCAGCATTATTTCTGCGTCTCAGTTCATCAAATCATTAGATATTCAAAATCAACTTCTAAGATGGCCAGCACCATTAATTCCATTTCACAGAGAACCCAGAGGACTGAAGGAGGGGAAGGTGAGATGTCTCACAAAAGATCACACAGCTGATTGCAGAGTGGGAAGCAGAGCCCAGGAGGTCTCCAGATTCTTTTTAACCACTGCACCATCCCATCATGGATGATGAAGAAGCCCCTCCCCCACAGTCCTTATTTGCACTCTTGCTGGGGCTCAGAAGCTATACCTTATGTAACGCTGGTATAATGACAAATATATTTTATGGGCTTGTTTGTTCATTGTTGCTTTGCTTTCATCTTTAAAAGAAATTACAATGTCTCTGCGGGCTTCCAAACATATCTGTGCCCCCACCCCCAGCTGCGCCTGTGGTACCCGAGGACAATACCAGTCCTGCACCCCCTGTGCCTGTGGTATCCAAGGGCTACACTAGTCCCAGCTTCTTAGTCCTTTCCTCTATTCCCTTGACTCAGTCTGGGTAAAAGAAGAAAATTTGCCTCCCTCTCAACCATTCATAAGAATCAACTAATATTTCTTTGTAAATATTCTAAAGTCGGAAAAGCCAGCAGTTATGTAACGTTTATCCAATTGTGAGTTGTAAAGTCATTTGGGTGGATTGTGACTAGTTGTTTTATAATTAAAATATATTAGAATGGCACGGGGCAGAAGGGATAGGATAGACCCACCCAGAAAGCATCAGGGTACACTTATCAGTTATAAGCTCATGTGTAAGTCCGGTAGGTGAGATAACATGCATTTCTTTCCGTGAGACTTAGCCACAGCTTTGTGTTAGAATGCTGATTTAGGATGTGTTCCTTCCCCATTTCTTTATCATTCAGCTTTAAAAATGACCTCTGAAAATACTTGGTGATATTAGCTTATGCTTTGGGGTTAATCATGACTTTTCAGAGCACAGATTTTGAAGATGTATCGCAGGATCTAAATTCCAGCTCTTCTTCTTGGCTGTAGTGCCTTCACTACATTATAACTTCTCTTTGACTTAGCTCACATATACACAGAGGAATAATGCCAGTCTCCTAGAGTCATTGTGAGATATGAATGGGCAAATGCCTATAACACCCTCAATACAGCAAAGTTAGCAAATGCTGTCTCTCTAGTACCTGCTTTGTATATGGTTATAACTGTTGATTTCTGTGAATAACCTCATTTGAATTAGACACTTGTATAGTTGCTTGTTTGATTTTCCACTTAGATGTGTAGCAAACATCTCACACATTTGGCAGTTCTTTCTTGGAACTCTGCCATTCTGCTAACCCCAACAGGCCCTTCCTCCCTCACTACTCAGGTCAAGCCTCTGAAATACCTCAGGTTCTTCTCTCCTCACATTTCACATTAATCCTCAGAGAAGCCCATTGACCAGACATGCAATTGAAAGCAGAATTTGAGGTGTTGCCTGCACCATGCTGGCAACTCACCTGTTTCTCTGTTCTACAATAAGCCTCCAAACTGGTTTTTCTATTTCTATGTATGACTTGATTCCCATTCCTTCTGGAATCTTCTCTCTTGCTCCTCTCTAGCCACACTGGACTCTTATATATACCTGGACTCTCCTAGCTCGAGGCCTTTCCTCAGCTCTCTCTCCACTACATACTATTTATTCTTCTACCTGAATTAAAGATAAAGTCCCTTCTTCTCCCCACTGTCAATCTTACTGTCTACCCTTCTTCCATGTGAGTCAACTCTCTGTCTGCTTTATTCTCTATTCTTTTTCTCTGTTTTTTTCCCTTTACATGCATTAACTTATGAAATACTATGCTGTGTCCTCAGAGATTATATACCCAATGTTGTTAACATCAATCCAAATGCTTCAGAGCCCAAATACATTTTTTGTTTTGTTTTTTGAGACAGGGTTTCTCTGTGTAACAACCCTAGTTGTCCTCGAACTAGCCCTTGTAGACCATGCTGGCCTGGAACTCACAGAGATCCGCCTGCCTCCGCCTCCCAAGTGCAGAGAAGAAAGGTATGTGCCACCACTGCCTGGCCCAAATAGTTTTTGAAAATGATTGATTTGGAGGTGTGGGGTGGATTTCTGATGTCCAGGTTTGTAGAGTTATCCAACTGATAAAATTATTCACATGTCCAGAATCTGCTAGTGTCTGAAATCTGGAACACTTATGACTCCAAGCACTTGGTAAAGGGCATTTCACTGCATGTTACTGTCCAGAATCCACTGTTAAAACTTAAAATTCAAGAGACTAAGATACTATTTCTGTCTTTCATTACTGAAGTTTAGCAGTGTCTGAAAAGGCTCTGATCCACAGTTAACTGCTCAGTTAATATTCTTAATGGAATGAATATCACTAAGTCAGTATGAATAAAGGGCCCAAGGGCATATGGGAGAAATGTATGAGTAATAGAGAGTAATAAAGCTCTTCCTGCACCCTTGATTAAACCATAATTTTAATATTAAACCAACTTGTAATTTGGTTGTTTGAAATGCAGAGATAATGAGGCTTTGTTCAGAATAGTGCACACACATGTACGCATACACACACACACACACTCCCCATGTCTGTAGCACAGCCCAGCTATTTTACCATCAGACATTCTGCTGCTGATTAGTAGTCTGGGGTATATAAATGGGGCAGGAGAAGTTCAATAGGAATCTTGCCAGCTTTACACAGCACATCCATTCAGATACATTAAAGAAATACTATTGTGAGATCAATCCTGTTGACTTTGGAAACCCATGGTGTAAGTTGTACAAGTCCACTATTATTGGATAAGAGTATAGAATTGATATATTTCTTTAACTAGCCGTCGTTATGTTAAAGACTTACGCACTAAAGAATTCTATATGTCAACATAGTACTGTTCCCGTCTAGAAGTCACAGCCACTCCCCGAAGTGGCTGGGCATGTGATGGCACAAACTATGATGACGCCGGAGTCTCCTTTGTCTCCTACACCGAATGGCACCTGGCACCGGTTGTTTCCCTCAGGCTTGACTTTGCTCACATAACACACTGGCTGGACCGTATGTTTCCCTTTTACTTCATTAACTTGAGGAAAGAAAATGATAGCCTTATAGATTATCTTTAGTTTCCACTTAAAAATTAAGCATGCTAAATTTTAGCTGCTTCATATGAACACTAAACAGTGCACAAAATGAAGTTTTGTAGAGCAAAGAGTAACTCTACAAGCCAATCTGAAAAATGGTTTGCTTTAGTAATAATTATCTGTACAAAAAAGGGGCATCAATATACAACTGCTGTATTATAACCAGTAGCTCATTTGCTTCTGATCACCCATGTGTCCGTGGAGAAAAGAATGATGCCGTGTAGTTCATGGCCAGGAAAATGCCTAGAAGTATCATTCCATGTGGATTTCAAAATTTTATATTCAAGGTATGCCTGCCATGTGGCTTGTTTGTGCCTAGATTTACCTGCCCCAGTCATCTAGAAAGATAAAAGGCAAACATACATTTTCCATAATATTTAACTTTAATTATGAAGAAGAGTTGAGTCTTGGGTGTAGCTGACCCATTTACTCTTAAGGTATCTCAAACTAAGCCAGTTATGACTCCTTTTACTCTTCTGGCCTGAAGAAGTAGAAGAGACTGGTGGAAGTCAGAAATGTCTATCCTTCAGTATTATTGGCAGAGCCTGATCTTGTGGAGAATATAAGCATGCTGAGGTTGAGCGTGTTATTCATCTAAAATATCCAGAGATACAAAGCAATTCTGAAGTGTCAAAGAAGAGCTCGCCTCCTGAGACTGGAGAGAAAGAGATCATTCTGCACAAGTACAAAGACCTGACTTCATATGAACACCCAGATAAGAAGCTTGGTTCACATTCACCTGTAAGACCAAAGCTGTGGGGTGGGGAGTGGCTAGATGATCTTGGGGCTGGGTGGCTACAAGCTTAGATCGCTAATCCCATCTTAAAGGACTAAGATAGTGACGATGACATCATGCAGTGTCCTCTGGCCTCTTCACATGCACCCACACATATATATGCATGTGTGTAAAACACACACACACACACACACACACACATGGACACACACACACACAGACACACACACAATGTATCTTCTTATGTGGGGGAGCAGGTTACATGGTCTGAAGTTAACCAGGAAGAAATTAAAATTTTGTTCTTGACATCTCTTTTAGATATCTTATACATGCTTTAATTCTTTTCCATCCCATACTTCCTTCATTCACTTCAGTGCATAATTATATAGAACTTCAGGGCAAGTGTCACTTATATACTGAATGATCGAATACTCTATATCATGTAATATACAGATAAGTGGAGAGCGTAAGGAAGATACCTGTCTCATTAATTCAGTGAATGAATGATTTAATAAGGCAAGAAGATAAATTCTCTCAAGGTAAATGTTAGGGATGTTCATTACTGCTGCTGGCAGTGTGAATCTACTCTCCTGTTACAGAATATCCTTTCAACACATTTGAATTTTGGGGGGAAAATAAGCTACTCACTCTCACTGTCCTAAATGAGACCTGGTGTCTAGATACCCTATAATAAACACATTGCCTTCAATTTCTTTAGCATTGATATTATCTTCCCCAAGCATCCATCCATACTTGTAGCTTTGAAATGTAGCCTAAATCCCAGAAAGGAGCTATTTGAGTTAAATAAAATCCATGGCTCAAATAAATCTCAGTCTGGACGCAATGGAGATTGGTATTCCCACATAGCTGTGAAAGAGTCATAGTATCTGATAGTTGTTAGGGTATAGGTATAGAAGTATAGACTACACTCAACCTTGGGCTGGTTTCCAAATGATGGTCTTAAGTTCTGATAGGGACAGGGTATAGTTGAAAGAATGCTAAAATATTTGATTAGTTTTCAAAATACCCAGTCCTCTTTATTCAGCAGTTATATGGGTTAGTGGAAGGAATTTGTACCCAAAATGATTTCCTAATCATCAAGAAAAATAAATACACGTGTGTGCATCTTCTTCAAGCATTGTAAAATGTGTAAAGATGAACTTGCACACAGTTAGTGAGTTTGGGGAGGCAACTATTTGACAGAAGTGCTTTAAAAGGATGAGAATTTATTCAGAAATAAGAAAGAAAAACTTTGTGTCTGGAGGAAGGAGGAAACAGCGGAGATGTGCTTGCCTGACTCGTTTATAAACTGCTGCTAAGAGGCAAACGAAATTCTTGCTATGCAAGATTATACAATTTATTGGGAATGTGCAGGCTCCCCTGTTCAGCAGCCCTGATAACGACACTAATAGCTTAATTACAGCTTTCTGCTTAAGGAGATAAACAAGGCTGTTTGCTTTGTCTCTTCCTTTAAATCAGGGGTTACAATTACTTTTAAATGTGGTAGAAAGGCACATCTGTGAGTGTGTCTACTTTGTTAAGAAAGCAACCAGAAACCAGCTGGAAAATAAGACAGCCCCAGGAGTGAGCAGGCAGTATAATATTAGAGAGAGGGAGGGGAAAACAGTACCATTTGAGCATGGAGCACCAGACACGAGACACAACAAACAGGCAGAAGTGTGTGTGTGTATGTGTGTGTGTGTGTGTGTGTGTGTGTGTGTGTGTAGGACTGTCAGGAATAGAAATGTATTTGGAGAATATATTTTCCTAGGAACACTCCCCTTCACTGCTTGCTGTCCTTCATGCAGTCAGGTCCCTGCCTCCCCATCCTTCACTTCAGCACCAGGACATGAGGACAGCTCCTCAGCCCTCCTTACAGAGCTGTGACTGCCCAAGTCATCTTGTCCTTCAGCATTTTCTCTAAATGGTGTTGGTCCTGTCACTGTCATTCGTGGTATATGTAGGGAGACACAGGAGGAACTGGGTTCATGTTTGGCTTGCTTATTTCCAAATGAGATGGAAGGCATGATCTGTCTGAACCAATCTTTTAGTTGGACTCCAGAGCAATTTAATCCAGAATAAAAGATGAAGTCGTTGGTTTGAATCTGTGGTTCAGTGTAATTGAATAGTAGTGAAACTTGATACCCTTCTTTAGTGATTTATTTTATTACTTGGTTTTAGCACTACTAGGAAGGCAAACAATCTTTACTAACTGTACTTTAGTTCATTTTCTTTTCTACTAAGTTGAGAACACCAAAAATTCTTAATAAGTAAAATTCTTTAGCCTGAGAGAACAAGGTTAGTCCTAAAAGGAAAACTTTCCAGTTCTTTGGAAGGCCTCTTATATGCATGTGCCAGACCTGGAAGATGCAAGTAGGGCTTCCCACAAGAGCCCCACAAACTACTACAGCATGCCACAGTGACCAAAACTCCACACTGAAGGTCTCTCCCCTCCAATTTCAATGCAGAGGCAACCATTTAGGAAGTGACCACACAGACATTGTTTAAAGAACCAAATCATTAAGAAGAAAACATACTTGGTTACTCTGGTCCTGTCATTCCCCCCCCCCCTTTTGCCATTAAAAAGTTTCTTACTCAGTGAGTCAATACTTTTCTCCAAGCAACAGTCTTGTGTCTAAACTCTTCTCTGCAGGGCATAGCATATTTATTCCTGCTCCAGCACACAAGAGTGCACACACACACACACACACACACACACACACACACACACACCAATTCATTTCTTAAGCTTTTTTAAATGTGTTGTCTGCTTTTTAAAACTTATTTTGAAATTGATTGAACCTTAAGGGAAACACCCTCACCCTTTAAGATAGCATGGAGAGGAAGAAACACGGTTGGACTGAAGGTTAGAAGCCGTTCAGAAGAAGTGTTCTGTAAAGTTAGTGGTGAAAACTTCAGAGAGAGCAACTCCTCTGAGCTTGGAGCAGCAGCAGGAAAAGGACACTGATTTTCTTATTGGGTGACCCTGGGTGCCTGAATCACACACCTGAAGCATAGTAACTGAATCTTTCTGTCCCCTTCATTTACTCTTTCCCCTTCCCCCTCCCCTTCTCTCCCTTTTCCCTCTTCTCTTCCTTCCTCATCTTCCCTGGGTCCTCTCCTTTCTCCTCTCCCATTTACCGGTTTCACTTCATTCTATCTGGGCCACTTGGAACGCCTGGAATCACTCAACCGCTTGTTGTGGACCACGCTCTCATCTTTACCACCAACTTGGCTTTCCAGACACTGCTCCCGGTCAGCCCCGCCCCCTCCCCGCATCAGTGCGGTGACACCCTCTAGACAAAATCACCCGCGTCTGAATGTCACCAACAAGTTCCACCCTGTAGTAACCCCGCCAGCGACAGCCTCGCCCAGGAAGTCCTGCCATCCCCTCCACCCACAGCCGCACGGCATCCCCAGCCCGCTGGTGATTCTTGGGGTCATTGTTACCACTGACACTTTCTTTTCTTCCTGGAAGGGGAAAGCCCGCGTGGGTGTCACTGGTTGGGTGTAAGGCTCTACGCGCTACCCTCCCCCACCTCTGCAATACACACATACACATACGCCTTCTCCACGCGGGCGACACAAAGGGAGCGAGTGTGAGAGCGGGGCGCCCTCGGGGCAGGAGGGCTCAGGGAGGGGGCACCAGGGAGGGGCGGGGGCTGATCCGGCCCAGGAGGAAGGGAGGGAAGGAAGCAGGTGCCAGACACCCAGACGAAGGCGAGGGGCGTCCTTACCTGCCCCCAGGTTAAAGGAGATCCTGGCCTCTGCGAGATATGGCGTGTCGCTCTTGGAGCGGACTCTTCTGATGGGCCGCCGGTCTATGTCATCCTCCGAAGAAGCCGCCATTAATGTGGGAGGCAGGAGCAGGGTCGCCCGGCGAGCTGAGAGGAGAAGGAGATGGAGAGAGGGGGAGGGAGAGAGGCGGAAAGGGGGAGGAGGGGAAAGGAGGAGGCTCACACACATAGAATGGGGGAGGGGAGGGGGAGGGAAAAGGAGGGAAAGGGGTAGGGAGGGTGGGGAAGAGAGGGAAAAGGGTAAAAAGAGGTAGAGAAAGAATGAGAGAAAGAGAGCAGAGAAAAGGGTGAAGGGAGAGAAAGAAAATCCGTTAAGGATTGGTGGACTGGAGCAAGATCAGGTTAGCCCGGGTGTGTACCCAGGGCTCCCCCTAACTCCTCTCCCAGCGCTGGGCCAAAGGGTCAACGCTCTTGGTCAACACCCTGCCTCCTGCCGCAGCGCAGCCCTGTTTCAGCCGCTGGCACAAGACAGGCTAACGCGAATAGGAAGACTCCAAAGCCAAGATGCCCAGTCAGCAGCACTGTGCCCTCTCCCGCCAAATACACTTCCTCTCCTTTCAAGAGCAGGCGGCTACAGTCTCCACAACCCAGGGGCCTCTTTAGCCTGAAACTGCTGGAGCCAGCTTTTCTGCTCCCCGCAGCCACTCCTGTCACTCTTGCCTTTTTTGCCTTGGGGATGGGCACCTACCTATCCCAGGACATCCTCTGTGTTCTATCCCTCCCAACCAGACGCCCAAAATAAAGTTTGAAACAGATAAGGACATCTTTAGAAGTTCTCTTACCTGCCCTTTACAGTTTACGGTGGGACATGGAGGGAGAGTGTGGTCAAGTTTGGGAGGATGGGTTTTATAATTGATATTTTCAGTGGAGACCAGGCTTAGTCATAGACCTGATGGTCATCTTCTCCATTCACTAGGTTGTAGGGTGTGCTTATCTCGACATCAATACCTCCTATGTGAACCTTCAACTTCTGCTTTCGGGCACTTTTAATACAAATAATGCTGTTTGTACTGGAGTTCTCTCGGCAGCTCTGCACCATTGTGCCTGAAGGAGAGGTAACGATCAAAGGGGCTTGGGATTGTTTGTACATTTGCGGTGCCTAACTGCAACACTCCACACAACACAGCAAAAGAACCAGAGGGTTTTCTGGGGGTGTGATCAGAACCCGTCTGATGCCACCATTGTAACTATTGATGGACTAAACTCCTTTATGCTTGTCTTTCTGGATCTTATGACACAGGATCTTTTTTCTGCCCTGATGTCATTATTCTTCAGTCTAATAAGTGCCCACCTCCGGCAGGTGAATAACCTAACCTCTTTAGTAGAAAGGAGTGCTCAATATGGCTTCCAGCCCTTTGGTCTCTCAACTCAGACTCTACAAGGCTCTCTGTACTGCAGTTGCCCAGTTCCCTCTCATTTTATATTCATTTTATTTTCAGCCCCCTCTGGACTTGGCAGTCTCTCTCCTCTGGACTCCTGCCTTCACACATGCATTGTGACCCTTGGCCTTGCTGCTTGCTTGACCTCTACCATGGCCTCCATGATTCTGACTGAACTTCCTACGGCACTCCCAGCACCTCAGGACTTCTGTCCCTTCCCTTCCTTCTCATTCCATCTACTGCTTCCTAACTTACTGTCCCTATCAAGGCCATTTTGAAAGGCTGCCAATGTCTTTCTAACAGATCCTTCTTCTATTTGGTCTCTTTGAAATATTTCATGATCTATTTTTCTTGATATTATCTCTTCCTTGGCTCTTTCACCTCTGAGCTACTTCCCTCACCACTGGATTTCTAACGGTCAGCCAGCTCCCCCAAGTTAGTCTGAAGTTGCTCAGCCCAAAACTCATCGCTTGCTCGCCACCCTGACCCCCACGCCCAACTTCAACCTCTCATTGTCCTGTTCTCATCCAGTATTTTCTTGGAATCTACTCAGATTATCCACATCTGACTCACTTTGGATGGACCTGCACTTGTGTTAATGCAACACTACACATCTCTTCAAACTTTTCATGTTCCCCTAAGAACATGTCTCGGTTGTGAGCCTACTGCCCTAGATTGCTTCCTAATGCTGCATATGATACTAATCAAAAGTAACTTGGAAGATGACGAGGTTTATTTGGCTTGCAGGTTATCGTCTGTCATTCCATCATCAAGGGAAACCAAGGCAGGAACCTGGAGGCAGGAACTGAAGCCGGGACCATGGAGGGACCTTGTTCACTGGCTTGCTTCCAAGCTCACATTCAGCTACTTTATATAACCCAAGACTGCATGGCGAGGGGTGATACCACCCACAGTACCTTAAGTCTGTCTCCATCAGTTAGCATTCAAGAAATGCCCCAAAGTCCCATCTAATGGAGTCAATTCCTCAATAGTGCTTGTAGAACTTCCTTGATAGAATTTTTGGGGTCACTTATATAAACTATCATCAGCAAATAATGAGAGTTTGACTTCTTTTCCTATTTGTATCCCCTTGATCTCCTTTTATTGTCTTGTTGCTCTAGCTAGAACATCAAGTACTATATTGAATAGATATGGAAAGGGTGGGCAACCTTGCCTTGTTCTTGATTTCAGTGGGATCACTTTGAGTTTCTCTACATTTAGTTTGATGATGGCTGTTGGCTTGCTGTATGTTGCCTTTATTATGTTCAGGTATGTTCCTTGTGTCCCTGCTCTCTCCAAGAACTTTATCACAAAGAAATGTTGTATTTTGTCAAAGTCTCTTTTAGCATCTAATGTGTGTGGTTTTTTTTTTAGTTTGTTTATATGGTGGACTATATCGACAGATTTTCAAATGTTGAACCATCTTTGTATCTCTGTGATGAAGCCTACTTGGTCATGGTGGATGATTTTCTGATGTGTTCTTGGATTCTGTTTTTCGGCATTTTATTGAATATTTTTTGCATCAACGTTCATGAGTGAGATTGGTCTGTAATTCTCTTTCTTATAATGTCTTTCTGTGGTTTGGGGATCAGGGTAATTGTAGCCTCATAAAAAGAGCTTGGCAGTGTTCCTTCTGTTTCTGTTGTGTGAAACAATTTGAGGAGAATTGGTATTAGTTCTTCTTTAAAAATCTTGTAGGATTCTGTGCTAAACCATCTGGTCCTGGGCTTTTTTTGGTTGGGAGACTTTTGATGACTGTTTCTATTTCTTTAGCAGTTATAGGTCTGTTTAATTTCCTTATCTGGCCTTGATTTAATTTTGGTAAGTGACATACACAGACACTGAGAGCAAAAATTAATAAATGGACCTCCTAAAACTGAGAAGCTTCTGTAAAGCAAAGGACACGGTCAACGAGACAAAACAGCAGCCTACAGGATGGGAAAAGATCTTTACCATCCCCACATCAAACAGAGGTCTGATCTCCAAAATATACAAAGAACTCAAGAAATTGATCATCAACTCTCTGAATGTGGCTGACAGTGGGGACTGACTGAGAAGCCAATGATAATGGCACTAAGATTTGTCTCTACTGCATGTACTGGCTCCTTAGGATCCTAGTCTATTTGGATGCACACCTTCCTAGGCCTGGATGGAGGGGGGAGGGCCTTGGACTTCCCACAGGACAGGGTACCCTGCCCTCTCTTAGGACTGGAGGAGAAGAGTGGAGGGTGAGTAGGGGAGCAGAAGGGAAATGGGAGGAAGTGGAAATTTTGAATGGTATTATTTATAAAGCAATAGAAAAAGAAATTGGTCATCAAAAGAACAAATAATCTAATAAAAAAAATGGGGTACAGGCCGAAACAGAGAACTCTCAACAGATGAACATAAAACGGCTGAAAGACACTTAAGGAAATGCTCAACATCCTTAGCCATCAGAGAAACTCAAATAAAAACAACTCTGAGATTCCATCTTACACCTGTAAGAATGGACAAGATCAAAAAGACTGATGACAACTTATGCTGGAGAGGATGTCGGGTAAAGAGAACACTCCTGCATTGCCGGTGGGAGTTCAAACTGGTACAGCAGCTTTGGAAATCAGTATGGCAATTTCTCAGAAAATTAGGAAACAACCTACCTTAAGACCCAGCAATACCACTTTTGGGTATATACCGAAAGGATGCTCATTTGTACCACAAGGACATGTACTCAACTATGTTTATAGCAGCACTGTCTGTCATAGCCAGAATCTGGAAACAACCTAAATGCCCCTTGACCAAAGAATAAATGTAGAAGATGTACATTTACACATTTACACAATGGAGTACTACACAGAAGAAAAATAATGACATCTTGAAATTTGTGGGCAAATGGATAGATCTAGAAAATATCATATTGAGTGAGGTAACCCAGACCCAGACAAACAAGTATAGAATGTATTCACTCATAAGTGGCTTTTAGACATAAAGCAAAGAAAAACCAGCCTACAATCCACAATCCCAGAGAACCTAGACAACAAAGAGGACCCCAAGAGAAACATACATGATCTAATCTGCATAGGTAGATAAGATCTCCTGAGTAAATTGGGAGCATGGGGATCATAGGAGAGGGCCAAAGGGGAAAGGCAGGAAGGGAGGGTAACAGAGAAAAATATATAGCTTAATAAAAACAATAAAAAAAGAAAAAAGAAAATGCTGCGATCCTGTCTATGTTATTCATGAGCCTTGTTTGAAGAAGAATGGCAATGCTGTCTGAAGGACTAGCTAGGCAAAGATTTCCCAGGATTTCTTTTACACATATTTATTCTTGATACAGAAAAATACATCTGTGAGAAATTCCTATTTCATACGTATTTCATACTTTAGATGTTGATTAAGAACTAAATGCTGTTAGACAGTGGTAGCACATGCCTTTAATCCCAGAACTCGGAAGGCAGAGGCAAGTGGATCTCTGTGAGTTTGAGTCCAGCCTAATCTACAAGAGATGGTTCCAGGACAGGCTCCAAAGCTACAGAGAAACCCTTTTTTGAAAAGCCAAAACAAACAAAAACAAACAAACAAACAACAACAACAACAACAAAGAAAGAATAAAAAAGAAAAAGAACCCTAAATGATGCTAATAATTTTAGGTTATTCATAGACATTCAATTTATAACTGTTGTTGTTGTTGACAGGGTCTGGCTCTACAGTTCTCGTTAGCCTGAAATTTGC